ATTGATCAAACTTATTTTAAACTTTATTGTAGTTTTATTAATGAATGAGAGGGATTTATGTTAAAATTCTTCAAAATACAATGTTGTCCCATGACTGTCATATTTTCAGGGTAAATTCTAAGAAAAAATTTTCTTCGTGAATAAATATCTGTTTACTACATATTTTAATTTTAATTTTAAAGTATATATTTTATAATAAATATATACTTTGAAATTTTAAATTGCATTAAGTTTATAAATATATAATAAAATAATAAAACTTAATAAAATTCGGAGCAATGTGATAGATAACCTTTGATAGCTGCAACGAATTGTGAGTTAGATATACTTTGTATCAGGTTTAAGGCTTTGTGTTTGTTTTAAGGCGTATATACGCTCGTGAACGCACATATATAAACACATATATACTTACATCTAGATATTTTCTAGCTTATCGCTGGCAATTCTTATCTTGCCAGTTCGAATTCCGTCAGTCTTTGGCCGCGCTTCCCACGAGTGTTGAAGATTCTCGCCTGCTCAAAATAACTATCTTCTTGTGTCGAGTTTGAAAAATCGGTTTCGCGTCCGTTCCGTCGAATTGGCACGCGATTCTCGGCATTTTACGGAAACCGTGAAGTCGCACGTCGATAACGGTTCGTGCGCAATTCAATGTTTTTCTGGCGGAGCTCCCGTTAGCGCGAAGGTGATCCTTTAGGAAGTATCGACACGCGTCTTCTTCAGGAGCGTTTAATCTTGCGGAGATGTGAATCCCGAATCGGCGACTATTCTGCGGGTGTAAAACCGGCGTCCTCTCGCATGTAACGTGAGACGTGGTGCGTTGCAGACGGTGATTCAATGCGGGATTTTATCTGCTGCTCAAGATGATCCGGCAGTTTCTAGATGCGCTGGGCGGGAATTCGGTAATATTTTACGCATCCGACTGTCTGTATTTATGTATCTTAGATATACGATCCTTATACTGAGAAGAATGTCTGGTTGGATTAATTGAAATTCTGGTTGAAAATGGACGAAATCAGAATTTTCTGGTTGTTAACTACCCGGGAGTACTATTGCGTGGAATTTTCACCAAATTCTTTTTAAATTTAGTATAGTTTTTATTATTAAAATTTTAATGACTTAAAATAATATTTAATAAGACTGTTTAACATTAAAGTTTATTTTTTACATTAAAAGGTAGCATTCCAGATTTAATATAGATTGACAATTATAAACTAGAAAAAATCTTATTTGCAATGTGATATACAATATTATATTAGTAACAGATAAGACGACGAGATAACTCACGTGTCCATTGAATGTTCCGCAAACGATAAATCGTAATATATTTAGATAAAATTTTCTATGATGTACGACAGCGCATAAATTTGTAAATAAATATCAGAATATATTTTTCTCTCATTCTCACTGCTGCTCTGCAGCTGAAACTATCAATCGGTATTTCTTATATAATAATATCAATTTTTATATATATTATAATAGAACTTCGAAATAAATATATTTATTACGAAGTTCTATTATTATATTTATTGTTAGTAAAATTTGAATTTATTCTCTATGCATTATAAAAGTGAAATATAAATCTCGTAGGTAGAACAATATTTAAAAGGTCACTTTATTTATAATTCAAAAAAGTTTTAATTACGAAATAAAAATTCATTATAAAATCGGCACTTCTGATATAATTTATTCCTATATTTATCTAGATGCTCTATTATAATATGATTAATAAATTTGAATTTAAAAATTAAAAATAATTGTTAAAATTAAACTTTACAAATCATCATGCAAATTTTTTCGTTATACAGTATCTAATAATTTTTCAATCATTAAGATATAATTTACATAAACATGTTATTACACGTAATGCAATCAAATTGTACAATTTCAACTTTACGTGTAAAAAATAATTGCTTCTTTTATTCGTATCTCGTGTCATAGTTGCAGGAAACTCGACTGTGTCATAATTATGAGGCGCGGCGGTAATAAAACGATCAATAATATTGATCGATGGTACGCATTTCCGAAGTGATCCGAGATCTGTCGCCTAACGCGTAATTGCCCGTGTTTACGGCGTCCGATTACTTGTCCAGCTGTTATGCATAAATCACAACCGAATTAGAGCGTCACGTTAGCCCGCGGAACTGCCGATAATTATTTGTTTTTAATGCCTGGGATAATTACGTGCGTGTCGTATGCGCGTGCGTAATTATGGGGCGCAGGTTCACTAAAGCCTCGAGACACAATTGGAAAGCACAGGCAATAAGAACAGAGCGCATAACAGATTTTAACTATCAGAAACACGTAATTCTGATATCTGATAGATTGAAATCTATTATTCCCTGTTCTTATTACCTATGTTTTTCAATTGTACATTAAATTTTAAGTCCGTGTCACACTATTTCAGAAAAATAGAACAAAATTATATTTTAACTGTTAACTGTAATATAGGTAATAATAATAAATAATAATAATAATAATAATTTTACAATAATTATTGCAGAAAAATGTAAAGACAGATTCTAATATTTTTTGTAGATCTTACAATTTGCAGCTTCAGTTTAGAGCTTTGTTTCAAAAAATAAATGATTGGGACGTAGTTTGCTTGAATCAGAAATTGTACTCTCTAAATTCTTTAGAAGGGAATCTCATTCTAAAGAGTGAAACTTGAGCTAGTTTTAAAAAAGAATGGTACAATTTTCAATCTTTAAAAGTGGGATTTCACTCTTTAGAGTGAGATTCACTTAAAAATTTTTAAGTATGCATCGTGGACGCGGCTTATCATCGGTAATTTGCGAATTATGAATCGTTGATCAACTAATCTGATTAGCTAGTTTATCAACTATTCACAGTTTGCAACCTGCAACTACAATGTGTGACACTAGACTTGAAATATTTACCATTGAATACGAGAAATATTCTTAGAATCCGTCTTTAAATTTTTTTATAATAATTATTATTAAATAATTTTTTAATTATTATTACATGTATATATTATAGTTTACAATAATTTTGTTTTATTATTTTTCTGATAATGGGTCAGTTTTTCATTATTTAGTTAACACTTGTAGTTTAGTTTGACCTCTTAACTTGTAATAATTAATGTAAAAATTGTGTTTTTTTAATTATGGTTAATCACTAAACTAATAGTGCTATAATGATAATTTTAAAAGTTCTTCACTACAAAACTATCAGTTTATTAGTGATTAACCATAGACAGAAAATACAATTTTTACATCATCATCAATCTAACATTATCAGTAAGCTTAACCACAAGTTAATTAACAAATGAAAAACTCAACCTGATACCAATCTTTCATTACCTGTAAGTACAGATACGAGTGGAAAAAGACATATAAGAGTCAATAAAACTTTGTTAAATTTTCTGTGCGTCAAGACATAAAATGTATTCTTAATAATAACCTTAGAACAAAATTATTCGAGAGACGTAATAATTATATGAGTTATGAAACAAAAAACTTATTACAACCTTTGTTTCAACCTTTGATTAGGACATCTTCAGATAAAAATATTTAAATATTGTGAACATTAAAACTGAACTAATACGTATTACTGATAAGAGAAGAGTCCTTTACTAATTTTTATTTAATTTTCATTACCTGGTTAAGCTTAACCACATTTGATGTTTCGCCCAATAAACTTCATTCATGGCATCATTATAGATGAAGCCCATTGAACAAAACATCAGGTTAAGTCTCCCACAAATTAACCAGAAAATGAAAACTGGGGTCTAAATGGAATAAGAGAGACTAGAAATTGGACTAGATTAAAAGTTGGACGCGAGTTCGCAAGCGTATCGAAGCGATGGTGATACGGACCAGCGATAGCGTCCTGCTTTTTATTAAATGCCACATTTCAATAATTCCGGGGCGATACGACACACGGTGTAACGGCCTCATGATTTGCCAGTTCTTTATCGCACACGAAACAGAGTGGAAAGATGATGCATGATTTCGATGAGTTTTCACCCCATCACGAAAATCCTTTCTTAATTGTTTATCCGGAGATAATTCCCGCGATTGAGATGTTATTGTGGAGATTGTGTTATCTGCGAGCGACACATTCGCTTATCGGAACGTTTTTATAGAAAACTGCTGTAGAATTGTTAGGCTTTTTTAATATTTCAGTTCTTTCAACTTTTAGCAATGAAAAAAATGCGTTCTCTTCTGCGAAGGAGTATTTATTTTGCTTACACATTGAGAGAAAAATATTTGAAAATTATGATATAATTGCATAGTGAAATAATTGTAATTAGGAGCTCTGGTTTTATAATTATTACTGCTATTATGCTATACTTAATAATAATTATATTTATATAATCTTATATTTATATACTAAAAAAGTGGTATAGTTGAAATGAAAATAATTTGAATTTATAATCGTTTTTGGTGCCAACTATAGGTATATCTTTTATATAATATACTATAAACTTATTATTATTAATATAATTATAATAATTACAATTGTTACCAATATTACAGCAGTAATAATTAGAAAAATGGAGTTTTTAATTATAATTATTTTACCATAAAATTATAGTCACAAATAATAAACACTTTTCTTTTAGTGTACATCTGGTTGAATTAATGCGTTCTTGTGTGTGACAGTGATAAGATTTTTCTGCTTATTAGTGCAGGATTAGATATATTGTCTTTTAAAGGACAATTCTCGTTATTCGATGCGTAAAATTAGATAGTCATTAAATCTTTACTTGCACACATAATACAACTGTCGCAGAATTTTCGACTTTTAATTACTGTTAAATCTTAAGATAATTATGATTGTTTATAATTTACATACATAACAATGTCTTATATTCGAAAATTGATGGAAATGTTTATTAAAAAATGTCGTTTTTTTTAGCCTCGAAGCGGGATGTCCGTGGGTTCGGGCGGCCGGGCGCCGTTTAAACGGACCGCACAAAATATACAGCCGCCCGCAAAGAAGTCCAGTAGAAGCCAGTAAGTATATATCTTAATTGCTATTATGGTTATAACAATAAGTTCCTGCTAGATTTACTTGGCAAACTTACGAATGAGCTGCGGAAATACTACTGTTTTACACAGATTCGTCAATACGATTTCAAAGAACTATTTATTGTAACTATAATTATAAATTTATTCAAACTTCAAAATATTGATTAATATATGTCAAATATTTATGCCTGTTTCTATTAATGTAGATTAACTTTAATTTAGGTTCAACTTATTTTTCATTTTTTCTAGTTCTAAGAAAAGTTCTTAGAAAAAAATGAAAAGTATATTGAATTGAAATTAAAGTTAATCTACACTGGAGATGGGCATGGCAATTTGATACAAATAAACCAAATCTCTGTAAATTATAATCATCTCTAAAGAAAATTGAAAATCTAAATATAATAATCAAGTTTTAATTTACAATAATGACAAAAGAAAGAGAGAGGAGAGAGTAAGAGAGAGGAGAGAGAGAGGATTTATATTTTTATTTAATACATGAAAGCATTAATTATTGTACTTTCAAAAAATGTATGTTTAGAAAAAAAATTATAGTTTTACAAATTCCTGTATTATCGACCGCGCTCTGTTTATAGCTGATTCTCTGCAGTGAATGAAGCGCGATGTAGAGGACGCCAATATGCAGTTTCGTCGCGGAGCATAAGGGTCTGCCCACAATGAAAAAAATATTTGTAATAAATTACTAACAGAAATATTAAGAATAAGAATAAATATTAAATATTAAATGTTAGAGATTAAACGTAACAAATGGATACAAATAAGATGCGCGCAATGGATACAAATAAGATATGGTATATAATACATCTTATATCTTATTTATATCTATTGTGCGTTATGTTCAATCTTTATTCTTAATTTAAAAAAATTTTTTTAATATTTAATATTTATTTCTGTTTCTAATATTTCTTCCATTGTGCGCACAGCCTAAGAAAGATGCTTGTTACCGCAATAGATGCGGCATAGTAAGACGGATTCCATGTTTGTCACGGATCGGGAAACCGGTCTTCCCATTATTTTTCCAGGAAGTCCGTTATTCACCTGCCGTTACAGACGGCTTCCCGTCTTTATTTCTGAGAATTCTTTATCGCGATTTGAGAAATCATTTAGCGTCCAAATCTCACTCGGTCGATTTTACCGTTTAACGCATCAGAAAATTGCACCTACCTAACTATGTCAGTCACAAAATATTTTATTTAGACATTTTAAACTAAATTAGAACAAGAACTGTTTTAATGCTGGGAATGTCTGAATTTTGAAACGTTATTTTACAAAGCAAAAAATGTTATAAAATAAGTAGAAAATGTTAACATCGACAAACAATAATTAGTAAAAATTGTTTCTTTTGTTATATATAAAATATGTGTACATAAAACTCTCACTTCTTAAAATCCAACACATCATATGGATTGACAAATTTATTTTGTTGAAAATTTATTGCGCACCTCCGCTCGTATCAACTCTTATTAGCTCGATTGTAGATTATATTTGTGATTCTTTTGTTATGTAATACATATATTTTTGTTGAACATTTACTTATTTTAACTAACAATTTTATTATATCGCTCATTTTTTACAACGACATAATTACAAAATTGTCACTTTGGAGTTGCTTACAGAAATAGAATGAAAACATAAAAAAAGAATATACATTATTATTCTTCTACAATTTGTTATTTAACAAAATTACTTTTCTAAATTAATATTACAAAACTTGATCATTTAAAACGTTCAAAGTTATTTGCTTGCAAACTTTGTTCTTTTTAGTTGTGTCGTAACAAATGAGCGATAAACATTCATTAAAGTAGGATATATATTCTATATATTTATTTAAGTTAGAAAGACGTAATTTAAAGATCGATAAATTGTTGGGGATATAGCTCAGTGGTAGAGCATTCGACTGCAGATCGAGAGGTCCCCGGTTCAAACCCGGGTGTCCCCTTCAGTTTTTTTTGTATATAGTTTTTTTTTAAGCATTTAAAAATGTAATCTGAATTTAAATCTGAAAATAATTTTGTTTTATCATCAAAATAATTACGTAGGACACTCAAATTGGTTAGAACATCAAAATGTTTTATAGCATTATCGTTATGTTTAAGTGTTCTGGATAATTATTCTGAAGATTCAGCAAAAATTATTTTCAGATCTATATCTAATTAAATTTATAAATATATATCTCAGCAAAATCGGTCTTTCTGTAGCTTATATCATCTTCATTTACCTACGCGCACATTATTGTCATTTATTTAAAAAAAAAATTACTGTTGAACTATTTTGAAAAAAGAGAAATCTTATTAAACATTAATTTATTTTTCTAGATTGAATTTCTCTTTATTTTCAATAATTAAAGTATTAAAGATTTTCTCTCGTTATCATAGTGAGATCTTTATAAGTAATTCTACTATTAATTTCCGTTTACTATTAATTTTCGTAATAAGCTGCTGAAATTTTCGCGTGCGGAGTATTCTCGCACTGGAATACGCAACAAATTAATCTCTGTGAAACTTATATATGTATAGCTCCCTTGTGATAGATGTTACCCGTGTAACTTTCTAGGATTAATAATAGGTAGAAACGCGCAAGGTGTGTTGCAACCTCTCTTGGCTATGATTAACGTGAGATAGTGCTCTTGCAGATAGAATTACCGGACGCTCCCGTAAATTCACATTGCGTTTTATCGTATAGAATCCAATTCTCGTTGGACGAGCGAACGCCACGTAACAGAGATAACCGGATAGCCGACGCACGTGCTGTGGACCGGTATTATTATCGCGAGCCGGTTCGGCGATGATATCGTCCTCTAGAAAACTCGCTTCTTTATCTGTGACGTTTGTCACGCAAAAATGGAAAAACGAGTGTTTAACCTTTTTTTAATGCAGCCGCACGATGACTCAGTCTCGTTTTCTTTCAGTTTACATAACGTTTGATAACTGCGACGTACACGTTTAAAAAACGCTCGAGTTATCCCTGGTACATTAGAAGTTGTGTGGAATAATCCATTGGAACGTTAGTCTTTATGCAAAGGCAGCTTAGCTTCTCATGTAATAATTTAGTTAATAACCAGCACACGATATCATTGTTATTTCGATGATTCATTGAATTAATGTGTCATTTCTTATATCGTTTATTAAAAACTTTTTACGCTCGTTTCTACATTGAGAAAAATGTTTGGTTGGAAATGGACGAACCAAAAAATTTCGACTGTATTAATCAGAATTCCGGTTCTCAACTAGAATTCTAATAGATTTAACCAGAAAATTTTGATTCATCTATTTTCAACTAGAATTCCAATTAATCCAAGCAGACATTTTTTTATATACCGATATAAATTAACTTTAATCTTGATTTATATAGCTTACATTTCATCTTTTTTTATTAATTTTTACCTAGAAAGAACGATTTTGTTGAAATGTCTACAGATAGATACAGATTTGAAAATAATTTTTGTTAAATAATCAAAGTAATAATTATGTAGGAAATTCAAACATGATCAATGCTGCAAAAAATTTTAATATACTTGTAATCAATTTAAGTGCAGCCTACTTTCTAAAACTTTTAGAGTGTATCTCGCCCTGAAGAGTGAAATTTCACTCTTAAAGATCGAAAATTGAGCCAGTCTTGAAAAAGAGTGGCTCAATTTTCAATCTTCAGCGTGAGATTTCACTCCAAAGAATTTAGAGAGTACATAATGGTACATAATCATTTTGATGGTTCAACAAAGTTATTTTCAGATATCTAATTAAATTTTGAGATACTTTAGCAAAACTGTTCTTCCCGTGTAGAATTAGAAAAAAATGAAGAGGAAGTTGTGAATCAAGATTAAAATTAAAATTAATCTACATTAGTAGAAAAACGGGCCTTAATCTTGTTTTTGTATGTCGATCTCTTTTTCCTTGAGAAAAGACAGACATATCAGACTTCTCGTGTCGACACGAGATACGTATAACGGCTTGCCTCGTACTTGATTTTATCAGTGGCACGACAAATCGCTCATAATTTACGTAATGCCGGGTGAGCGTTGTTAACCAGGTGCGGTAAGCTGCTTAGAAAGAAATCAATCCGTTTCGCCAGGTCTGTTGAGCGATCGAATGATCGGACGATTGATCGTTCATTCGTTCGTTCGTTCGTTCGCAGCAAACGGATCCAACGAGAGGGCATTGACCAGCGGTTGCGATCGAACTGACCTCATCAAGTAGCCGATACACACTGCTGAAACCCGTCGATACGCTAAACTCGTCGAATCGAGTTCTCGGATGTCTCGAGCCTTCCCTTCGTCCTTTTCAAATGTGCGATTTTGTCCCAGGTCCTCGATGACAACACTTGGAGAAGCGCACATTCAGCGTCGAAATTAGTATAGCTAGCTGGCATTAATTTTTAGGATCTTGATTATTCAGTGTACATAACTGGTGTGGTATATGTTATTTTATATTATATTTATATAAGAACGAATTCAGGTAATATATGTTGTGTGTGGTTAACGTTTTATATATTTCAATAATAGTTGAAAAACCTCTGAGAGCCGACGCTAGTTTTAGTTGCGCACAATAATTTTATTTTATTTTCAGTTCACACATAAGATAAAATAATTGTACATTTCCCGCGTTTTGGATCCTCTTCAGTATTAAGTTGTCGTATAACTAATTTTATATATTTCCTAAATGTATCTAATATTTTATAACTATCAGAAACGTATATACTGCATGTAACCAACATGTGTTACTCGGAAATGTTGACGAAACATGTTTGATTGATAAAAGATTGTAAAAATATGTCTTTATTCTAATTTTATTCCAATTTATTCTTATTTTTATTTTAATCTGTTACTATATTTTTATTTATATTATAACGTAATTAACAAAAGGAGATTGAACGGAAATGAAATTGTATGCCGATATTTGTTAACTAATCTCGGTAAAAAATTTTTCATGCATAAATATGTATAAATATACATAAACATGCATAAATAATCATAAACATTTATAATTATATATGAGATATGTCCATACATGTTCATATATCCTTTTTTCTTTTATAAAATTACTTTTTAGCGTAATAGAAATAATAATAGTAATGTGGAAACATAAATAAGAAATAATTAAAGGGATATTTTCACATTGTTTGTTTTAGAAAAAAAAACAAATTTAGGAAAATATAAAAAAAATTGCTCATACATAATTATGCTTAATTTTATATATAATTATACATAAATAATTTTTTATATTTCCTTAAACTTGATTTTTTTCTAAAACAAATAGTGCGAAAATTATCTTTTTAATTATTTTTAATGTTTTCATATTACGATTGTTATTTCTATTACATTAAAAAATAATTTTACAAAAGAAAGAAAGATATATGAACATGTATGGACATATTTCATATAAAATTATGTTTGTGAATATAAGCTTAGTTAATAAATACCAGTGTATAATTTAATTTCCCCCCCCCCCCCGTTCGATCTCCTTTTATTAAATATTAATTATAATCAAATAGAGAAAAATCACTTTTTCATTATTATTTTATATTACGTAACTTAAACTTTTTTTTTCTATGAACGTTCCTCTAATCTATTATCAGTAAGTAAAGTCAGCTTCGTCAGCCTAGATAGATAGAAAAATTCTAGGAAATTAAGCGGTTTATTAGCTTAAAGCCTCCGTCGTCTCATTAGTAAGCTTTCCTGACGTTATTCTCTCGATTATGGCTTCGCTGTAACGCGTGATAACGAAA